AACGTCGCCAAGACACTTCCAATTTTACGCGGGAGAAAACCCAAACAACCAAAGACCTACATATATACATATATACACATACACATACACATACACATACACATACACATACACATACACATACATATATATATATATATATATATATATATATATATATATATATATATGTATATATATATAATTATTTTCCAATCACAATCTTTAATGCTTCGTGAACAGTGTGTTGTCTGGATTCATATATTCAAAACAATCAATAACAATTTCTACAATTACTCAATATGTTAGTTGGTAATATATTTCTTGATCCTCTCTTCTTCCAATAATATATAATATATAAGTAGTATAATATTTCTAGAATATATGAAATGTTAAAACATTGAGATAGTGTATTTAAATGAAAAGTTTGGATATTTAAAGGTAATGAATTTTGAGAAAAGTATGACTGATAAGAGTGGTCTGAATATTGAGGGGAAACTAAGCTTTAATAAAAAGTATGAACAGGACATATAATGACTAAGATGATTTTTATAAATATAATAGAAACATAAGCTGATTAGAAAATATGTTATATGTTGAAGTTATCATATGCATAAATAAAAAAAATTGTTTATATTCAACTTGGTATGTACTGAAAATATTAAGAACTATATCTGTTTAATGTAGTCAAAATAATTTCTTTATATAATTCTTTTTGTCACTTCTTTGTATGCATTTTTCTCTTTTTTCTGCATTTTGCCTTCTTTTTTTCTTTACTTTTTTATCTTAAATATTAGTTTTTATGTCTGTTGTTTAAAATTCTAATAAAATAGTTATAAAAAATAAACAGTGAGATTATCTGAAAAATAATGAAACTCATTTTAGTAATGTTTTTCTTTCCTAAGAACAAATATTTAACTTTCCAAAATTTCTGATTCTTTTCATCAGTTGGAGGACTCTGCCTGTACGCATAGTAATAGTCCTGTGCCACATCACCAAATAGATCAGGCACTTTCTATTTTGAATTTTTCTGCATTAATTAATTGTAGACTCCAGAATTCCTGTGAGACAAGGATAACTCTAAACCTATATCAGCCTCCTTCAGCCTAGTACCTTCATTAGAAATGTGAGTTTCCAGAGAAATTTGAATCAGAAAATTTTCCAGAGAATGATTCAAGTATGATTCAAATTAGGATATAGGTAGTCCTCGATTTACAACATTTTATTTAGTGGCTGTTTGAAGTTACAATAGCACTGAAAAAAGTGACTTATAGCCATTTTTTACACTTGCGATCTTTGTAGCATCCCTATCATCATGTGATCAAAATTCAGATGTTTGGCACTGGTTCATATTTATGACCGTTGTTGTGTCCCAAGGTCATGTGATCACCTTCTGACAAGCAAAATCAATAGGGAAGCCAGATTCACTTAACAACCGTTACTAATTTAACAACTACAGTGATTCAGTTAACAAATGTGACAAGAAAAGTCATAAAAAGGGGCAAAACTCATTTAACAAATTTCTCACTTAGCAACATAGATTTTGGGCTCAATTGTTGTTGTAAGTCAAGGATTAGCTTTATTTATCTCCTTTTTTACCCATAGTCTGTACAAGTATTGACCACATTATTAGATTAAAAATAAACATGCCCTTGTTTTATGAGATTTGAACATTACATATTTGTAGAAAATGCTTTGATGTACGGATAAAAATATTTTTACTGGAATGCTGAAAATTCTACCAGGCAATAAGCAATAGAACAATACACAAATGCAATATAGTTCTAGTTTTTTTGTTTTTGTTTTAGAACAGTGACCTGAAAAGCAATTCTGAGCCTGTCATCTTTATCTGAAGCAGAAAATGTCCTTACACTCAGAAGTAAACATAGCAGGATTACAGCTAGGTAATATAAACTGTAGTTACAAGTATATAGCCCTTGCTTGTTGGCCATTTCAGACTTACACATAAAACCCCTAAAAATTACTGCTCACTGGGATATTACAAGAAGCTAGCAAAGGAGGAAGACAGAACTATACTTACATAGCCCAAGGAAATTCAAAACGGCTATGATGAAGGGATTGCAACAGTCAATGTGGTTTCTCTGCCAGGCAGCAAAGAAACATAGAACAGCCATTTTCTTGCTACCCTGGTTCCTTTTGTTAATGCCTTATTGTCTATAGATATCAGAGAATTGCAAGTAATCCTCAACTTACAACCATCCATTTAGTGATTGTTCAATGTTACAATGGCACTGAAAAAAAAGACTGAGTGTTCCTCGCACTTATGATAATTGCTTCATCCCCACAGTCACATGATCAAAACTCAGGCACTAGGCAACTGGCATGTATTTATGACGGCTGCAGCATCCTGGGACATGGGATTGCTACCAGCTGCCTTCCAACAAGCAATGTCAATGGGGGAAGTAGGATTCACTTAATGAGTGCTTGATTCACTTAACTGCAGTGATTCCCTTAAAAAACATGGCAAAAAGGGTTGTAAAATTGGATGTGACTCCCTTAACAACCACTCTGCTTAGCAACAGTAATTCTAGTCCCAATTGTGGTGTAAGTCAAGGACTACCTGTATTTAAAAACAAGGTGGGACTCTTTTGCTTACAGTAAATGAAGGCCTAGCCACCTTCCAAATTTGCCCATCTGATGCAATTTCCTACTGTATTTACCTCAATATCAGAGACAGAACCGGGACAGAAATCTTGCACACCTGGGTGCAAGAATAGTTGCAGTCAGATTACTGCCGACTCAACTTTGCTTGACTGCAAGCCAGTACAGGTATCCTTGACTTATAACTGTTCACTTAGTGGCTGTTCAAAGTTACAATGGCACTGAAAAAAGTGACTTATGACTGTTTTTCACTGTTACGAACTTTGCAGCGTTCCCATAGTCATGTGATCAAAATTCAAGTGCTTGACAACTGGTTCATGTTTTTTTACCATTGCTGTGTCCCAAGGTCATGTGATCACCTTCTGCGATCTTCTGACAAGCAAAGTCAATGGGGAAGCCAGATTCATTTAACCACTGGGTTACTAACTTATCAACTGCAATGATTCACTTAACAGCTGAGACAAAAAAGTCATAAAATGGGGCAAAACTCACTTAACAAATGTCTCATTTAACAACAAAAAATTGTGTTCGTGAGTCAAGGACTACCTGTAATTTCTTTCTCGCAGTTTATGCCTGCCCCCCAGTGGCTATGTGTGAACACTGCAAGAACTTCTAATTAAATTTATTTATGAATATATTAGATTTTTATCCTGCCTTTATTATTTTATGTAACTCAAGCCAGTGAACATACATAATATTCCTCCCTCCTCTTATTTTCCCCATAACAACAACCCTGTGAGGTGAGAGAGTGACTGGCCAAAAATCACCCAGCCAGCTTTCCTGCTTAGAATTAGAACTCAAGAATCTTCTGCTTTCTAGCCTGATGCTTTAACTACTAGGCTAAACCGGTTCTCATTTCCAAAACTCCCCAAAAAGTATTCTAGAAGTTGTAGGGATATTAATAAGGTTGAAAAATTCAGATGCTGCAAAACATTAAGAGATGCCTCTATAATTTAATAGAGGTTTAAAATACTTTCATTTTAGATAATTTGGATTATCAGTTGGTACCCAGAAACTATATTTGCTTAAATAAACTGAAGAATATTAGGGGTTAGCTGCAATCTGATTATATCATCAACTAGCAACTACATAGATTTTCTCCAAGATGATCTATCCCTAATTTATTTTTTCATATCCCCCAACATGCACTCACTGCCTCTGTAACTGAGTCCATCTACCTTGCTCTTCTTCTCTTTCTTTCCATTTTTCCTAGCATTACAGCTTTCTCTAGAGTAAGGGTGTCAAACTTGGGGTGGGCACGGTTTTGCCATAATGCATCTGGGCCTGTGGGCCAGCAGTTTGACACCCCTGCTTTAGAGAGCTGGTCTTCATATAATGGGTCCAAAGTAGGATAATTTGAGCCTGATCATTTGTGCCTAAATGCAAATCTGTAAACTTGCAATTGAATATGGTACAGCATTAGGCCAAAGAGTGTCTTAGAAAGCCCTTCATTCAATTCTTGCATTGAAATATCTATTTTGGGGAGCCACAGGGAAAGTTTCCCCAATCAGGCATTTTTCAGATATGTTGTGACTATAACACCAAAGCCTCCTCAGGCAGATTTCAGGCCTGATAAAGAAGAATTCCATAGAGAGCAGCTTTGCTTCCTCAGCCTTCATCCTTGCTCTGCAATTTATGGATAACAATACTAGACTACTTGGCAGGTTTTAATTTAACAATTACAGATAGTCCTTCCTGACTTCCTCAGTAAGTTATGATAGTGTTAAAAAGTAGTTTTGGGAGTAATCCTTTCATTTACAACCACTGCAACATCCCCTGGTCAGATGATAGTCATTTGTGTGCTCTGCAACCGGCTTGCAACAAGCAGAGTTAATAGAGAAGGAGAAAATAAAATCGTAAGTTGTGGTCATGTAGTGTTTCGCTTAACCTAAGTGAGTAAGTCTTTCATGGCCATATGATGTTCTGCTTAGCAAGCGTGATGTTTAGCAATGGAATAACTGCTCCTAATTGTGGACATTAAATGAGAACTACCTGTGCTGATTTGATAGAAATGAAATAATTTGAATATTTGAACTACAATATTCAGAGTAAAATAAACATTACATCAATATGCACAGTTGTTACATAAATAGTAGATGAAGAAGATGAACAATGGGGAGAACTCACTGCATTATTTTTTTCTGCATCATAGGTCTATTAAAAACCGTATCTTTAAATTGTTCGCAAGCTAATGAAAGCCTTCATATGTAGAGGCAAAGAGCAGCTCTGCAGGAGACATATGAGTGAAACTGTGGCATTAATTGGGGGGGGGTTTGAGGTGGGGGAAGGATAAACAGATGTCTTTATCTTCCTTTTAATCTCTAAACACCAGAACGGGTACCTTTCTTTCCTTTCTTATTTAAGCAAAGACAAATCCAATATCCTTTTAAGTAGCTTACCTGTCCCCATTGGCTGATATGGCATCAAACTTGGGTTTTTTCTTTGGGAGTTCATTCTGAATAGAAGATGTAGATAAGGTTTTGTGGCTGCAAAAAGAGCACAGAGGAAAAATTAACCACAGCATGGAAAGGGGCGTTGACTTACCTGAACGCCTTTTCTCAGCACGGAGATGGATAATCCACGCAGTGGGTTGAGACTGTATTCCTGGCCAATCAGATCAGTCAGCCAAAGTTGCCACGCCCCGTCTTGGACCATGATCCTTTAGTCTTGACTCGAGCGCAGCCATTGACTGACAGTAAGACGTTTTGGCTCCACTAAATATACCCTATTATTCTAGTCTATAAGGGTGGGTGTGGATTATCCATCTCCGTGCTGAGAAAAGGCGTTCAGGTAAGTCAACGCCCCTTCTCCAGCACTGGAGATGGATAATCCACGCAGTGGGACATACCAAAGCCTATTGTCCCTTGGGTTGGGGAATAGACTGGTCCCGTGTGCAACTTTGGTCTAGCACCTGCTGGAGAACCCTCCTACCGAAGGAGGCCTCTGCAGAGGAGTACCTGTCGATTTTGTAATGACGAATGAATGGAGAGGGCGAGGCCCAAGTGGCTGCCCTGCATACCTCTTCAATAGAAGCCTGCATGGCCCATGCTGCTGAGGTGGCAGCACTCCTTGTGGAATGGGCTGTGATATGCTTGGGGACTTGCAAGGACTCCGCCTGGTATGCCCCCGTGATGCATGCCCTAATCCACCTACCGATGGTAGAGGACGAGACCTTCCGGCCCCTAGTAGCAGGGTGGAAGGATATGAAAAGCGCTTCCGAGCGTCGGAATTCCGCTGTGCGTGAAATGTAATGTCTTAGTGCCCTGCGTACGTCCAAGGTGTGCCATTGTTGTTCCAGGGGATGAGCTGGGTTTGGACAGAAGTCTGGTAGGACTATTTCCTGTGATCTGTGAAAAAGGGAGTTGACCTTTGGAATGAATGAAGGGTCTATTCTTAGGACTACCTTGTCCCTGTGAAAATGGCACAGGTCCTTCCTCATTGAGAGAGAAGCTAACTCGGATATCCGCCGAGCTGACGTGATGGCTACCAAGAATGCTACCTTATGGGTCAGATAGCGAAAGTCACATGTTTTGAGTGGTTCGAAGGGCGCTCTGGTAAGAGCTTGTAGTACTCGTGGTAGTTCCCACGATGGATACCTGTGCACGGTTGGCGGTCTGATGTTTGCAGCCCCCTTGAGGAAGGATCGTATTAAGGGATGCTTGCCCAAGGATTCACCGGGGCTGGCAGAAAGTATAGTTGAGAGGGCGGCGATTTGCCTGCGCAGTGTGTTTGGCGAGAGGTCCCTCTCTAGGCCATCTAGTAAAAATTCTAGGATCTTGGGAATTGTGATCCCTTCGAGTAACAATTCCTGTTTAGAGCACCATGATTGGAAGCTTCTCCATGTGGCCTCGTAGATACGGTTCGTGGAGGGGCGCCTTGATGCCTGTATGACCCTAATTACACCCTGTGAGCAAGCCCCCTTGGCTAAAATTGACCGTTCAAGAGCCAGACGGCTAGTTGTAGCCATTGTGGCTCTGGGTGGGAGATCTCCCCCTGCTTGAGGGAGATCCTCTCCGGAGGAATCCGCCATGGATTCGTGCGGGAGAGACTCCTCAAGTCTGCGAACCAAGGTCTCCTTGGCCAATAAGGGGCCACAAGGATTACCTCGGCCCTTTCCCGCAGAATCTTGCGTACTACCGCCGGAAGGAGAGGTAAGGGTGGAAACGCGTACAGGAGCCCCCTTGGCCATGGGCTCCGTAACGCGTCCGTCTGCTCTGCTCCCTTGGATGGGAATCGGGAGAAGAAGCGAGTTAGGTGGGCATTGGAAGGAGAGGCAAAAAGGTCCACCTGGGGAAGCCCGAAGCGGTGACAGACCTCCCTGAAGATCCTCGGGTGTAGTTGCCACTCCGAGTGATCTATTGTTGATCTGCTCAACAGATCTGCTTGGATGTTTGCCTCCCCCGATATGTGGTCGGCCTTTATGGAGGCCAGATTTTGTTCCGCCCAGGCCCCCAGTAGGAGGGCCTCGGCCGAGAGCGAGCGAGAGTGTGTGCCCCCCTGACGGTTTATGTGGGCCTTGGCTGTCACGTTGTCCGTCAGGACCAGTACGTGCCTGCCTTTTATGCTGCTGTGAAAATGCCTTAACACTAGGTGAATAGCCCGCAGCTCGAGCTAGTTTATGTTGTGTCGGAGATCCACCGCTGACCAGCGGCCCTGTGTCCACTTGGTCCCCAAGTGGCCTCCCCAGCCGAATAAGCTCGCATCTGTTGTGACTACTACTCTGTCTGGTTCCCTGAAGGGGGACCCCCTGAGGAGAGCTGGAGATAGCCACCACCTGAGGGAGTGTCGTGCTCTCAGAGGTATGCCTACCCTCTTCCGGGATGCACTGATTTGTTGTCTCTGAAACGGGAGCATGAACCATTGCAGTTCTCTTGAGTGCAGCCTTGCCCAAGGAACTATTGCTATGGTCGATATCATCTTCCCTAGCAGCTGGGAGAGGCAGACCAGCGTCACTGACTGACCGCGGCTTACCTGTTTTACGGCTTTCTTTATGCTGCTGAGGCGTTCCTGTGATAGGTACACCTTGCATTCCTTTGTGTCTATGACCGCTCCCAGGTGGAGTATTCTCGTAGTTGGGGTTAGATGGCTCTTTGGAAAGTTCACCGAGAAGCCGTGGTCCTGCAGCATTTTTATCACTAACTTTAGGTCCGCCCGAGACTGCTGGGCGGACGATGACTGGATTAGAATATCGTCCAGGTAGCACTGGACTCTGACTGGTACGTTTCTTAGTTGTGCTGCCAGAACCGCCAGAATCTTGGTGAACACCCTGGGCGCTGATGACAGGCCGAATGGAAGTGCCCTGTATTGAAAATGGTGCCCCCTGTAGGCAAACCGTAGAAAGCGGCGGTGAGCCAGAGAGATAGGGATGTGCAAGTATGCCTCCGTGAGGTCGATCGATGCCAGAAAATCCCCTTTCCTTACGCTTCCAAGGATGGAGCGTAGTGTCTGCATTTTGAATTTGCGGTATTTTATGTAGAAATTTAGCCTTTTCAAATCCAAAACGGCTCTCCAACCCCCTGAGGGTTTTGGGACCACGAAGAGGATAGAATAAAACCCCTGGTCTCTCTGGTTCATAGGCACCGGCTCTACGGCCCGTATGTTTAGAAGGTGCTGAACGGCCTCGTTCATGAGCCTTCTCTTTGTTGGGTTTGTGGGACAGGGGCACGGGCGGAAGCGGTTTGGGGGCTTTGAGAGAAATTCTAGAGATAGACCATGACGTATGGTGTTCCTGACCCATATGTCCGTGGTGGTCTCTTCCCACTGGGGAGCAAACCCTGCTAGTCTGCCCCCTATGGGAAGGTCTGGGCGGGAGTCATCTGGTACGGCGGAAGGGGCGGTTGTTCCCCCGAAAGGGCCGTCTTCCCTGTGTTTGCCTATGTCTTGTGTTCTGTCTGTCCCCCTGTCTTTCCCTATCCTGTCTAGCTTGGAAGGGTTGGGAATTTTGAAAGTAGTTGACCCTGGCTTCCGTACGAAAGGATTGTTTCCTTCCCCAGGAGCCGGGTCTCTTGTCCTGCCTTTTAAGCATGTGTTTAAGGACCTTGCGCTTGTCCTTGTTCTCTGTCAGGTATGGCGTTAGTGCCTCACCAAACAGCTTTGCCCCTTGGTACGGAGCCGAAGCCAATTTCCACTTGGATTTGGTATCCGCCTGCCAGTTCTTTAGCCAGAGGATGCGCCTGCTCGTGTTGTTTGCCGCCATTGCCTTGGCTGAAAACTTGGTCGCTAAAAGTGTTGCGTCCGACGCATATTCCGTGGCCGCTACCATTTTGCTGAGTTCCTGGTGAGTGCGTATATCCTCCATGGGAACCCGGCCCTGTAACTCACGGAGCCAACAAAGTGTGGCTCTGGAGAAAAAGGACGCAGAGGTAGACGCCCTGGTAGCCCAAGCTATTGCCTGGTGCGTTCTCCTGTAGTTGGACTCACTCTTTCGGTCCTCGGCTTTAAGAGCCTCAGCAAAATCTCCTGATATGGCCGTGTCCGATATCAGGGGACCTATGGGTTCGTCCACCACCGGCACCTCCAATGTTCCCTCTAGCTCCCTTGCTACGTTAAATAGCTTCCTCTCCGCATTGCTAGGAAGCGGTAGGGAGGTTGGCGCTGCCCACTGTTTCCTTATTGTGTTTAGGAACATGGTCGGGCATGGTATGCGGTGTTGAGTGGTTACCTTTTCGGCGAACGTCGGCTCAGCCTCCGTGTCAACTGTGACAGGCTCCGCTGGTGTCCCATGCCCCAGATGGGCTGTGGCCTCAGCCTTGCGCAGAATAGTAACAAAAAGAGAAGGGTTAAACAGGCCGCTGAAGGACGGCCCTTGAGGTGAGGTGTCCTCCTCCTCCTCAGACATTTGAATCCCTTGTGACGTACCTGGCTGGTCCAGGTAAGCTTCCTCAGAGACCGACGAGTCTGAGATGGAGGAGAGGTCCTGATGGTCCTCCGTTTCCTCCCGATGCCTCGTTCTAAGTCCTAGAGGCTTGGCTTTTGAAGTTTGAGCCCTGGCCTCAAATGCACGGTCCACTGCCTGTGCTATTAGGGTAGCTAGCAGATCCCCTGTCAATGCAGGAGGAGTGACCATTGCCTGCGACCCTGCAGGTGCTGTGGTTAGCATGGTCCTCGGGGTTTCCTGTAACCTCCGTGGGGAGGGGGATCGGGAGAGCGATGAGAATTCGCCTATCCCACCCTCTGTTTGGGACTGTGATGAGTTCCCTAATGACCAAATGGCCCGTGGGGATGAAGGGAGACCCAGCGGTAGATCAGGACCTATTCCCCCATTCTGCCTATTTTCAATTCTGGCCCTTTTCTGGGCTCTGTCGAACTCTTTTTCTAGGGCTTGGTGTCTTCTGATTGCCTGTTTGTCAGCCTTCTTTGATGACTTCCTTGCAGCCTTTCTAGGGGCTGCAGAGGATTCCGAATCCTCTGAAGCAGGTGCTCCAGAGGATGAAGGCGGGGCTCCAGTGGAGGGAATGATTGCTTCCTCCATTCTCCACTAACGCTGGGCCGCGATAGGGGGGACCCAGGTAGTAGGAGAGCTCCAACTTTGAGTAAGGACAGGCGCACTACTGGGGGCGTCTGGAACTCAGGAGCAGACTCTGCAAAATTGTCAGAGTTAGTCACTGTGCACGGATAAGAACAGGCACGCTAATGGGAATGCCTGGAACCCGGCTTGACTATGGTGGGTAAGGACAGGCACGCGACTGGGGATGCCTGGAACCCACCACTAAATCCAGAGGCGTACGGGCCACTAATGGGGGACCCGAAGTCTGGGAGGAGCCAAAGGCAACTAAACACAGTTAGTTATGAAAGGTTCTTATTTACTTTAGGTAGAAGACACCAAGTCCTGGAACCAGTAGCTATGTGTCTGATTTGAATGTCTCTGAATGAATAATAGATGCTTTAGTACCCCAGTACTGCTTGCCTATTAATTCACTCCAGCGGCTGAACCTAGCTTTCTTAAGGAACTTTAACTCCCCTGTTTGGACAAAAAATATGGCCGCCGCTGCCAGGAAACTACTGCGCATGTGTTAACAAGGCTGCCTATGCCACGTGCGGTTGTAACAAAGAGCTGCGCGTGCTTCCAGCTGTGCAGACAATGGCGCCTCGTTTAAAAAATCCTGAGCAGCCTGGAGTGAAAAGACTGCTCCTTCGCACGCCAGCTGTTTCCCTTAATCAATCTCCCTCCCAGCATGCGTCCCCTTTGTCCTCCGCTTCCCTCGCTAACTGCTTGCCTTTCTGTCTTTTTTTTTTTTTGTTTGTTTTAAACGCGAGGGGTTGCCCGAGCCTCCCCGTTTGTTTAAGGCGGCTGCCGGCTGCTGGAAGGTGGCTGGGGTTGGTTAGGGAGGGGAGTTAGGGATTTCCCCCTTTTAAGTGGGGGTGGTTTCCCCTGTAGGAATCTGACTTCCTGAGTTTTACAATTTAGCAAGGAAATTTTTGAGTGGTCAATTAAATTGAATTAAATTATCTCTAATTAACTTTTAAACTAAGCAATTTCAGCTACTAGAAAAAATCCCCCCTAATGGAAAGGAACTATACCTGCCCAGGAGCCAAAAGTTGTAGATGTCTCGCATGGCCAGATCAGTCAAGACTAAAGGATCATGGTCCAAGACGGGGCGTGGCAACTTTGGCTGACTGATCTGATTGGCCAGGAATACAGTCTCAACCCACTGCGTGGATTATCCATCTCCAGTGCTGGAGAACTGGCCAATTCTAAACCACAATTTTAGAATTTTCAGCCATTGCCAATAAAGGAGAATGTTTGTAGCTCAGCGTTGAACTGTGGGGTCCTTGGTGCTCTAGGAACTTGGCTGTTTTCTTGTAGACATTTCATTACCCAAACTAGGTAACCTCATCAATGCTAGGGGGAAGCTGGCAGGAGGTCACAAATGGTGATCATGTGATGTCATATCTAACTAAAACACAGTATTCGCTTATACAAACTGTCACAATTGTCAAAAGTCGGCACCATCATATTATGTTGTACTTTACAACCATGTCATTTAGCAATGGAGTTTGCAGTACCAATTACCATTGTTAAATGAAGACTAGCTATACTTAAGCAAACCTTGGCTTAGCATATGGCAACAAGATTATTGAATCAAATAAACTCTGAACAGCTAGAAAACTGGGTGCAAAGCAAAGATACCTATTATAGTGGCTTCCACAGTTAAGTCGATCATATTGCTCCTTTTCCAGCAAGCTTGTCCGAGAGGAGTTTAAATGCTTACGCTGTTCTTTGGTTTTCTGCAGCACTCGCTTATAGGAGAGTGTGCAAAGCCAGCAGAGTAACTTCCCATCTACCTGAAAAGAAAAAGAAAATAACAGAGAAATAGGATTTTATTAATGGATTTGGTTAATAGATTAATGTGCAGATAGGAACCAAGCTGCATATTATAGTATCATGTTGTATAGAATGTTGCTTACAGCTTAGAAATGTGCATCAAAAGATCATTTCAGAGAAAACATGAATGCAAACTTTAATGTGGTTTAGTAGCAACTGAAAAATGTTGACAAAATAAGGATGGAAGATGTATGTGAACCCAAAAGGAATTAAAAACAGGCTCACCCATTTCTTCCAATAAAAATCAAACCATTTGGAAACCCAGTGAATTAAAAAAAAATCTGCTGTTTAATACAGACCAACCCTTCAATTCCTTCCTAATGAAAATGCTATTTATTCAATTCACACTTGATTGGGAAGAAAAGTCAATGCTTAACTTACACAGGGTCCCCCCCCCCAAAACCTATACAATTCATGGTTTCAGTGCTGTCCTAATGGCTAAGATGCAGCTAGAAAAAATGGCTAACACCAAAGTCAGCTGCTGCCTGGATCCTGGTAGGTACAATAAATGACTATGTGGTTCAAGTCTACAGATAATAAAGAATCTTTTCTGTACAGGTAGTCCTTGACCTATGACCACAACTGAGCCCAAAATTTATCTTGCTAAGTGAAACATCTGAATTTTGCCCCATTCTACGACCTTTTTTTGCCACAGTTGTTAAGTGAATCACTGCAGTTAATTACACGGTTGTTAAGTGAATCTAGCTTCCCCATTGACTTTGCTTGTCAGGTCACAAAAGGTGATCACATGACCCAGGACACAGCAACTGTCATAAATATGAGTCAGTTGCCAACCATCTGAATTTGGATCATGTGACCGTGGGGATGCTGCAATGGTCATATGTGTGAAAAACAGTCATAAGTTACTTTTTTCAGTGCTGTTGTAATTTTGAACGGTCATTAAATGAAATGTAAGTCGAGGACTACCTGTACTGGACATACATAGATACTCACTTTTTTCCTATCATCCTTCCTGTCGAAGGCACACTGTTGCTTACACTGTTCGCATGAATGGGGCAGCCCATATTTCTTCTCTGAGTTCGTACACCGCTGGCACTTGTTGCCAATAAATGCTGCAATTATATTGCAGTACTGGCATGGCTTTGGCTTAAATAATAAAGATGAAACAGCAAGGGGATTAGCATCACTTTGGAATATATAAGCAATCATCTCCCATCTGCTTAAATGCTCCTAACAACGCATTTCAAGCTTTTTTCAATGAAATATTTGAGAAAAAGTGGTGGTGGGGGGGGGAGAGAAAACTGATAATGCCACAAGTATTTAACTTCCTCTATAATTGCTACTCTTCTTTGATGAACCATGGAAAATAATCCTCTTACAAACTGAAACAGTATCACACAGCTTAATTTTTTTTAGTCTTATTTTCCGCTAAATTGTTTTAAACTTACAAAGCAAGAATGCATGTTTTAAGATCTCTAGGCAATTGAAATGTAATAAATGTACTTAAGAATGTAACTTTAACTAACACTCAATTGCCTTAAGCTGGTTACATGAAGACATTCTTTGTGACAACTTCATTGTTTATCAGGCACTAGGCCAGTGATGGAAAACATGTATCAGCGGCCAATAATTCTGAGCATTTATCACTACACGCTACATGAGCTATAGTGGTTTACCAGAAATCACTAAGTGTTCTATTATCACCGTCTTTCTCAATTTCAGCAATTTTAAGATATGTAGAGTTCAACTCCCAGGATTCCACAGCCAGCATTCTGCTTAGGAGAATCCTGGGAGTTGAAGTCCGTACATCTTAAAGTAGCTGAGGTTGATTATCAGACTATTACCCCATCTCAGCTAATCCTTTAATTGTTGGGAGTTGGGCAGCATACAAATTTAATAGTTATTTATAATAATACTCATTTCTATGAATTACTGTCTTTTTCTGCTATTGTTTTATTACTACTTCTATTTATGATGATTTTATATTATCAGTAGCCGCTAAAGGGAGAAAAGATTGTTGATACATACCGTCCCATAAAGTTTCACATTCTGAGCACACTTCTTGCATATTGTATTGGTTTTACTAGCAAAAGAAAAAACAAGAGTATAAAAAAATGAAATCAGATAATGTGGCTTGGGGCCATGCAGCTATTCAGATTCAGTCTCCAAAGGATGTTTTAAGACATACAGGAGTGCAAGTTGCTGAATTGCTTCAAAGCCTCCATTTACAGATAGTCCTTGACTTACAACCCATTCATTTAGTGACCTCTTGGAGTTACAGCAGGACTGAAATGAAAAAAATGACAACCAGTGCTCTGCTTATGTCTACTGCAGCATCTCCAAGGTCACATGATCACTATTTGGGCACTTGGCAAACGGCACATATTTACGAAGGTTACAGTGTCCTGGGTTCAAGTGATTGAGACTTGTCACCTTTCCAGTCATCCTCCTCCAAGCAAAGTTAATGTTGGAAGAGGATTTGCTTAACAACCTCCTAATTCACTTAACAGGCAAGTTATAATATCAAGCGTGACTTACTTAACACCCATCTTGCTTAGCAATGGAAATTCTGATCCCAATTGTGGTTATAAGTCAAGAACTAGCTATCTTTACAAATTACTGTAACCTTGCTGACTGCCATTTTAATTCCCTTCTAGCCAAAAACTGGGATCCAAGTCAGAATAGCAATTTGGCATGTTGAATGTGCAGAACTGCCATAAAAACCCATCTGACTTCATTGTGGATATAGCAGTACACATGGTAATCCCAATCCTGCAGTTACTGCCAATACAAGTAGCACACTTGCATAAAGTTAGAGCTGGCACTAACAATATCCCAGGGAGTTACTAGTGGAAGTAATGATTTGTTCTATATGTTACAGCTGCAATGGAGAAGAAAGGATTTTGATTTTATTTTTTCGTTAACAGTTTTTTCATAACAGCTAGTGCAAAGTATCTGTTCTCCTGTCTGGCTGAACATCAACAAGTCATTAACAAGCATTTTGAACTATTTACTGGTATTCAAAATACGTTGGAAATAAAAGAACAGAACACTGTGAAAAGTTTTTGTGTAGACAACATCAGTCATTCTATGTTGCTATTTCTTAATAATTTATCATATGCAACATTTACCTCTCCTGCTGGAATTCAGTTCTACAGTAGGTACATTTAACAATTGGATGCGCAATTCGACATTCCTGAAGAAGAAAGGATGTGTTAAAAGACTTGAAATGCATACAAACTCCCAGAGAAAAGCATCAGCAGAACCAAGGGAACTTTACTGTAAACAGCATACGTAATGTCCCAGACATGTAAAAGCAATGGATTGCTTGAATTCAATTTTTATTAAGAGTAATAAAAGTGAAATTTATGGTTCTTATACAGCTGCTCTTGATCATAATCAATACCTTAGAAGAAACCATTGATATTTAATATAAATTTCACTAGGTATCATGTAGCACAGAAAGCTGCATCTAAACAAGAGTACAACACACAAGCATATCACTATAGCAACATAATGTAATAATATCCAATGCAATTTAATGGTTCACTTAAAAACCTAACTCTTGTTTTGCCCAGAAAGATTCTGAAATAGTAATCTTCCCTCTAATCAACATTATTTTTCTCCATCCTTAAATTGCCCTCCTGGAGCCTTTTCTCCTCCAGTTTAATTTAGTCCAGAATAACAGACATTATTGTTTTTCTTAACTCTTATCTAACTGGTTTCAAACTCTGCAGATACTTATCTACAATATTAATTTTATTGCCTAGGTCTTATTACTGTATAGACTTTATTGTACACCAGTTTCAAACTGGAACAATTTAGTAAAAGAATGGTATATAAGAGGTAATAACTTACAATGACTATACCCCAAATCTAATTTAACAAGCACTATTCAGAATTTATGTTGCTAGACACACAACTTAATTAAATCAGTAGCTAATGAACAATAAATGCCTGAAGAAGGAATAGCTAAAACTGTTAAATGGTTATAGGGTTAAAACCTAATGCATCTATCTATTCAATTCCAAATTACTTTTCCAAGGTACATTCCTCATCATCCATGGGCCAAAGAATAAATTTTCCTTAGAAATAAGTAGTTGAAATCAGTGGAATTTACTCCCAGGTAAATACAGACTTTTGAATTCTGAGATCCATTTTGTCATTAGTAAGTTATATTGCTATTTAGCACAATTAAGGTTTTTTTTTTAAATCTATCTTCCTGATTATTATATGGGCACAATGATGATTGGATGGCTCTAGAGAACTGAGGCACTGGCCTTAGTTTCATGGCACACATCTTCTCCTTTTCAATACATTTCCTCCTGGGAAATATGAAACCCGGAGAACCAGTACAGCACAGTAGTCATATGAAGCTGATTTCATATATTATTAAATCATGCTTTCATTAACCAGGATTTGTTGAATCAACTATAATTAGCTAGATGTGTACACTACAAATTTACAAACCATTATAACTGGTTGACAAGAAATGTTAAACTTAAGATAAATCACAGTACAGTTCCATACAGTTTTCCTAAACCTGGTGCCCTCTAGATATGCTGGATTTCAGCTCTCCAAAATGTAGACAGCATGTACAAGGGAAGGGCAGTGGTGGTGAAGGCTGATGTGAGGCAAGTCACATTATCCAACCATAGAGGCTTAGACTGCAGTCTCCACTCACTGGTGGTGTTTACACAACACACCGAACCAGGTCACACTAACCAGTTCAGATGGAGAGTTGTATTAATCTATGTCAGAGGTGTCAAACTGCGCCCACCCCAAGTCCAGCAAGGGGAAAAAAAGTTGTGACACGTTACATGTCACAGCGAGTTTGACACCCCTGGTCTACGTGGTGAAAAATATATCAGAAGGAATCAGTAGCACTTTTTCCGATTTAAACATTTTATGTAAAGGTAAAAGCTTTCATGAGTCGCAGCCTTCATCAAATGCAGCTCCCAAAAACTTCTGCCTTTTAATAAAATCTGTTACTGTATCAGAAAAGATATTACCAAACTCCTGATTTTCAGGTCAGACACAATACTCTGATACAACGTATTAAACTTGATTAATGTTATTGATTTTTCAGCATTTAGTATTCTGTGCAAACCAAACTCGGATTAAATCAACAACAAGATTAAATGCATTGCTGTAAACATCACTACTCTGAATTTCGGAGCTGAAACTGAAATAATCATATTCCTGTTGTGTGGATGAAATGGGGCAAACCTCAATTGAATTCTTCTGATTGACTATGTTTTAATGCAATTGGCTGAGGGCGAATCAAAATTTGTCTGATTTCTTGAGCAGGCAGGATATACATACATACATATGCCCTTACGTAAGTATTTTGTCCTTCCTTCAGCAATCCCAATTATTATATTTTTCTCCTGCCTTTGCGGAAGAGACAGGAGAGGATGCCGGCCTAGAAACCAGGAGACCATGAGTTCTAGTCCTGAAATGAAAGCTAGCTGGCAGACTTTGGGCCAGACCCTTTGAGCTCAGCCTACCTCACAGGACTGTTGTTGTGGAAAATACAGTAGGTGTCAGGCATGTTCGCTGCCTTGAGGTTATATATATATATATATATATATATATATATATATATATATATATATATAAGGTGGGATAGTAAACTCAAGATGGCGACATACCCGATACTCCTGATCCTAGTTTGCCCAGAACAACCCTGAGAGGGGAGCTGGGTTGAGAGAGAGGAACTGGCCTAAAATCACCTCTTCGGAGACCTATTTTTGCCCAAGTACCGCAACAACAATCCTGTGAAGGAGGCCACAGCGCTGTTTTGTTTCAAAATTCAGGGCGGCCATGGGCAGCACAACCCCTCATGAGCCCTCAGCCTCACTCCGGAGGCAGTAAGGACGTATTCCGGGGGGGGGGGAATCGAAGCTAGATTCAAATTCATAGCTTCCGCTTACAAACCGACGCCACTTCCCGTCACCCGGCTCACCCTTCGGCTTCTCCCGATCCCACACCCGGCCCTGACCTTACAGAGCTGCTGCCCTTGACTGAGCGCCTCGAAGGTGAACCGCTGGTGGCACTTGGTACAAGCGTAAAGCGCCGCCATTCCGCCGCCCGCCCCGACAAGAGTAGCCTTCACCCAACCCGAGGTAGTGTTCCTTTCCTCCTCTCGACTTCATTGGCGAGCGTCGACGCCCTTCAGCAAGTGGGAGGCGGGCGCTTTGGCCCTATCTTGAGGCCTATTGGGTCTCCGCGGACGTCAATCAGAAGGGGGAGGCGGGGCGGCTTTGTTTGTTTGGGGAAGCGGCAAGAGAGAAGCGGGGCTGCGTTCAGACGTCACCAGAGGGCGCCATCCGAGGTGGACGTAGTTAAGCCGCGCGACGTTTTATTAACCATAGAGAGCAAGGAAGAAGTGAGGCTAGATTGCCTCTAGCCTGGTTCTAAGGCGAGGTGCCAGAAGAACAGGGGAATTTCTGCCTCGAAAGGACCAAATTGTGTGTTGCATCGAAAGAGGCAGCGCGGACTGGGCCGTGTCCACGGTTCGGCTGGGCTGTCAGCCGAATATGTACCGTCATCTCTCCGGGGGGGTGGTGGACACCAAGTCTTGGCTAGCAAATGGGCGTGCCTTTCTTTTGACTCTAATTCTCATCTCGGACTGACCAAAATGGGGACACCGTGCGGCAGCGGCAGCAGCAGCAGCAGCGTCACCTTCCCCCCCCCCCTACTTCTTGTTCCCTCCGTGTTTAGGGCGTGCAGAAAGTGAGGCTTAGAATCGTAGTCATGGAAGGGTCCTTAGAGATCCTCCGAATTGAGCCTCATAATCACAGAGGATGCCAACACTCGGTTTCTGCATCCTCTCCTGTAAGAGAAATGCTTTCGTGGATGCAGCTACTAAAGAAAGTTTGACCTATGTGTAATATAATTTTAGAGACTACCGGTATGCTTTTCACTCAGAGGGCCAATTTGGTGTAGTAGTTAAGGTGCTAGGCTAGAAATCGATCAAACTACACTGTTTATATTCAATATTCCTAATTTTCTGAGTTGTACAACATATTTGCTAAACAGGTAGTTGGTTTTGTCCCTTAACATATCATTTGAACATAGTCACTTATTGCAAAACAAATTCAATCATAAAACTCCAGATGTTAAGGTCAAATGTTTTGATCTTATGCTGTAAGCTACATACTTCTTAAGAAATAGAAAATAGAAGAGAGATCAGCTGTATAAATCAAGTTTTTTATTGATTGGCTTCTGATATTACACTATAATTTATTTAGCCACAGTTTATAAATCTGACATAATTGGCTAAGTTTGCAATATGCTAAACACCATAAGCCATGCTTTAGAAATCACAGTGGCAAGACTAATGTAACATCAGGAACACCAGTTAGTCCAAGTAATAGCACTCGTGGTTGTTTTCATTAAAATGCAGAAGTACCAAGAAAAAGCTTCTGCATGCTAGAACTGACTGAGAATTATCAGCTTTTTGCATAACAGCCATGTACTTTAATAATCTTACTCAGGAATCATCAGCAATATAAATAACTTGATTCCATCTACATATATTTGTTACATGACATCTATTATGTTCTCGGAAATGGAATTTATGATGATGTATTATGTTTTTCCTCCCATTTTCTGTCCCAGTGATCTAAATGATTGTGGTTGTACACAAGTGTGTTAATGGTTTTATTATCCACTGTACAGTGGTCTCAATATTTGTGTTACCTAGGAGAATGGTAGGTTAAGATAAGTGCACACAGACACATGTTCAGACTTCCAGTGCTGTAGCATTTTGCAGCTTAAGTGGCAACTCAGCTGAGAGATCTGTAAAATGAGGACCTTTTGCTATGGAATTTTCTAATACAATACAACCAGATGTCTTTTGCTGAACATGCTGTTAGGCCAGGATTGGATAGGTAGCACTAGACGTCACTCCACAGTTGTTCTCCTTCATGGACATGAGGATGTAGCCATCGTTGCCCCAATATGTAGACCAAGAGTTCTTGATGAGCCAGTAGGGTTCTCCCTGGAGGTCTCCATAGCCTACAGCTAGGACAGCATGATCTAACTGCATGGTTGTATTTCCTAGAAGAAAAAGTGTAAGAATTAACTCGTCATCTCCTTCCACAACTCACATATATGAAGAAACTGGACAGGTTTAAAGATATTTTTTATTCCCCCCTCCCCAGAGAGATAGATTCTCATTCTCTCTCTTGTTGCTCTTCTGCTATAAGCTGCAAGTCCCTAATTCAGCACAAAATACTCCAGCCTCCTTCCATTACCTTGCTCCTTTCAGAAAAATACTGGTTTGGTTAGAACACAGGGATTCAGTTTGAGCAAATTTCGTATCTTAATGAAATACAAGTCTTCACTATCAGTTCTGAATTAATATGTTCCAGTGGGGTAAGTGATACTGAAATGTTCAATCTTGTGGAGAGGAAGGAAACATAATGATTACTCCAACATGACTTTCCCATATTTTGGAAGTCCCTAGTGTAATACTCATGAAATCTTCTTATGAGACCCATGCAATCTTTTTGAAAGGTTCTAAAACTGAAATGGGGAAAGAGAAGTTAACTGAAATGGACCAGTTTGACCTGGTGGTTAAGGCTCTAGGCTTGAAGAAGTTAGACTCATTTTGTCTGTTGGTAACTATCCCTATGAGAGCCCCTTTCTAAACAGAAGACAGCTCTTCTTCAGAGCAGTCACTCACATAGCATGCTTATGAGATACTCACAAAATTCTCCATGGGCCTACCACAGGGGTCTTCAAATTTGGCAGCTTTTAAGACTTGTGGACTTCAACTCCCAGAATTCCTCAGCAAGCCCTAGCTGGCTGAAGAATTCTGGGAGTTGAAGTCCATAAGTCTTAAAGTTGTCAAGTGTGAAGACTCCTGGCCTACCAGCATGGAAGAAATTGAGCATCCCTGTCATTGAGAAAAGAGAACAAACCTGACAGTTCAGTGAGTTGCTGCAATAGATTTCCTACATCCAAATCCCCACTTGGGAAAAAGACCGTGAACCAAGAAGTGAAAAAAAAAAAAAACTCACCACAGTTAGGCTCATAATAGATGCCACTGGAGTAGAAGGCAAAGGACTTGTGGGAGGCATCAATGTTCACTGCGATGGGGCCATGCTTGTACAGAGCAGCTTTAAGGTCAGTGATGTTTTGGGAGATAATAGCAATGTAGCCAGCGATTGGTGCTATCAGCTCCGATTGGTTGTAGTGGCAGTAGCCATTCTGGGGGGGGGGAGGGAGAGAGACAATGTACCCTCATTTTCACAGAAGTTAACAACTATCTCAGCCACTAATGTGCAGCTTGGTTATCAACCCAGAAAGCCACCAGATCAGATCGTTTATCCATCTAGCTCAGGCCTTCCCAAACTCTTTAGCTCATCTACCCCAGGTTTCAGATTGTTCCTCAACTCCCAAGCATTTATTATATGAAAATAACTTGATAGACACTACTTTATTACTACTATGAATAACATCATCAACATCATCCCTTTGGATGGTCCCATTGATGGTTGATATTGGCCACTTTGGGGAACCTTGATTTAGCCCTATATCGTCAACACTGACTATCAGCAACTCTTCAAAATTTCAACTATCTCAACCTAGATACAGCAAAAATTAAAATCTAAACCCTTTGTGCATACAAAGCAATATTCTACAGTATCTCTAAATTATTGCTTTTCTGATAACTTTCAAAGATACTTATCTGTGAGGAATAATATAAGCACAAGTACTTGGTATACATAAACATCACATTCCCCTCCTTGTTTTCAGACCACAATTTGTGTAAATTGAACTAGGTGCCCTTGAACAAAATTGAGTGTTTTGTGCAAAATTAAGGAAAGAGATGATTTGGCAGGATCTGGCTAGAGTCCACATCTTAAGAATCATGGATGGGTTTCGTATTTTGAGAAAGACGTTCTTATGAATATAACATTGTGCCTAGAAAGCAAAGTGATCTAAATCAATTTAGTCCTGACGTGAGCTCCATAACTGCATATATTGGGCATACTTTGCATCCTTGTTCTGCTTGTGAAAGACCCAAAGCATCTAGCAGATCACTGCAGGAAACAGGATAACAAAATATAGGTAGTCCTCAACTTACAAACATTCATTTAGTGACCATTCAAAGTTATAACCACACTGAAAACCATCGGTTTTACGATCGTTGCAGCATCCCCATGATCAAAATTTGTGCACTTGGCAACTGGCATGTATTTATGACCGTTGCTGGGTCCCAGGGTCACGTGATTTACAATTTGTAACCTTCCCAGCTGTCTTCTGACAAGCAAAGACAATAGGGGAAGCCAGATTCGTTTAATGAGCACACGATCCACTTAGCAACTGCAGAGATTTGCTTAACTGTGGCAAAAAGATCATAAAATGGGGCAAAACCCATTTAACAACTGCCTTAGCAATTGATATTTTGGGCTCAATTGTGCTCATAAGTCGAGGACTACCTGTAGAGTGTGATCAAATGAACATTAGGTTTCTACATATAGCAGCTATTCTCTAGCACAGCAACCACAGTACTGACTTTGGCAATGAAAATTTAAATTAAATATAAGCAGTGGGGTTAAGTTCTTGCCCAACCCTAATGCTAATAAAATCATTTTTTTTTAATCCAGGGAGAGAGAGTTGCACAAATTCATTATTATCTTCGGGTCTTTGAGGTAGCAGAAAGTTTGAAAACCTTTCTTTGATGGTTTCAACAGCATGAAGCAGGGGCATATGCAGAAGAGGTTAAAAAAACAGAAGATGGTGACTACAGTCATGCAATTTGAAGCTTCAACCCTTTTTTTTACACTTGCCACAATACACAATAAAAGGGGCCAGGGCTTCAATCTCACAATTATGATTACCATGTTGGCTTTTTAAAGTTCATATGAGAATGACTATAGTTTCAACAATCTAGTTCAGATTCCCCAAAATTTGAGAAAGAGGGAAACAGTGGACATACTTTCACCTCTTTGAAGACTACATTGGTGTAAGTATAAAAAGAAAACCATGATACTGAGAGTTGAACTCAGATTTTCTGATACAGACCTACAGTCTAAGCCAGGAGTCTTCAAATTTGGCCCTTTTATGACTTGTGGATTTCAACTCCCAGAATTCCTCAGCTAATGTGCCTGGCTGAGGAATTCTGGGAGTTGAAGTCCACAAGTCATAAAAGGGCCAAGTTTGAAGACCCCCGATCTAAGCCAAAAGGGGGAAAACATAAAACTGGATAAATTAGTCTTCCCTAGCATGATATCCTCAAATGGGTTCCGACTACATGTTTAATTGAAGTCCCAAGACTTTAACTAGAACTGTAGTCTGAACAGATCTTAGAGGCACCAGGAGAGCCCCAGGAGGTCATCAGTAAAACTACCCTAGATTTACCTGACCCATATATGGCCCATAGGCCTCAGCACTGGCAATCCCTCCATGCTTCATAATCCATTCAAATGCATGTGGTTCCTGGCCCCCATCACAAGCATGGTTTCCAAAGCCCCAGGAGCAGTCGATCAAGACTTGTTGAGATAATGGGGTGAGCACTCCTGTCTGCATGGAAAGAACAGAAGAGAACCTCTTTGGATAGAAACCAACCACACCATAGCCATGGCCCTACTTCCATCCTCAAATCCCACCTCCTACTATTTCCAGTCTCAAGTCCCACCATGAAGTCTACCAATGATCATCTTCATGGCAATCAATCTCCAAAGGCTGAGAATATGGCTGCAGTGGTAGCTAGGATAGTCTGGGAGATGAGGTGAGACTTTCTACCAATGGAAGGGGTGGATGGCCCAGAGGCTCTACAGAGTGCAGTGTCTTGGGATGAAAGAGGAACTGTAGGTTCCTCTTCTACTGCAGGGCTTAGAATAAGTCCCCTTGGTCTTAGCCTTATTCCTCAAAGCAGGCAACCAGCTAAATGAAGAATGCGATTTGCTAACTTGTGGCTTAGTATGTTCAGTGAATCCACCAATTATGGCCTCCAGTAAACCATGATTCAGCTAAGCATTTTGGGTAAATATAATCTATTTGTGAGATAGGCCTGGTTACACTTTATGATCCACCTACCGTTGTTATGTAACTGGCAGAGCCATAATTTAGAAATAGGAAGACTTGGTCTTAACTGCAGGCCAGTATCCGTTGTTTTTTTTTTTTTTATTATTATTATTATTATTGTTGTTGTTGTTGTTGTTGTTGTTGTTGTAGTAGTAGTAGTAGTAGTAGTGGTAGTAGCAGCAGTAGTAGTAGTAGTAGTAATTACTATCTTTTAAAGCAGTGGTTCTCAACCTTTCTAATGCCGCGACCCCATAATACAGTTCCCCATGTTGTGGTGACCCCAAACCACTTATACATCACCGGGTGCCAGGGGCCTGGCCAAAGAAAAGGGGGAAAAATGGCAGACAGCCTTGTTTGGCGACCCCCGTGAAATGGTCGTTCGACCCCAAATGGGTCCCGACCCACAGGTTGAGAACCACTGTTTTAAAGTATAGGATAGGGTTTATGGTCCCCAAAGAATAACTAGCATTATAGTAGAGATTTATTTTATTATTTTTATTTATTTATATCCTGTCTTTATTATTGTTTATAAATAACTCAAGGCAGCAAACATCCCCAATATGCTTTCTTCCTCCTACATTCCCTGCAACCACCGACCCCATGAGGTGAGTTGGGCTGAGAGAGAGTGATGGGCCCAAAGTCACCTATCTGGCTTTCATGTCTAAAGTGGGACTAGAACTCACAGTTTCCTGATTTCCAGCTTGGTGTCTTAACCAGACTAGACCAAACAGTGATCACTGTCAACAATCAGCCACTGGGGTCTCACCTTGAGGAAGAGGGCCCCTTCCAGAGCTCCTGTTGTGGCAAAGCTCCAGCAGGATCCGCACACTGCCTGATCTTTAACGGGTGTCACTGCCCCTTTATTGAGAAGGAGAAGGAAGATTGTCACAATAACAATTAAGAAAACATCAGCATTCTGTGTAACATCATATGCAAAAAGCATAGATTAAAGGAAATTTTTCTGGGCTGAAACTTAAACAAAAGTGTGGATTTTAATGGGCTGAAACCCAAAATAAGGATTTGGACAGAATCATTGTGGTCTGTGGAGAATCTGAATTCTTTTTCTCTGATAGAAGCAGGACTTCATTTTCAGAGGATAAAATCTGATGTCACAAATCCTCCCCCCCCCCCCGACCTGCAGTTTCTAAGACACTTTCTTCGGACATTCAAGGGAACCTGCAAGGACAGAAACACAGTCGCTTTGTTCCTGTGAAGCCTAAGTTGAGCAAAAACCAGTAAGGTGTCACAATTACCATAAAGCCTCCAGTCTAAGCTCTCCGGCAAGGTGAGACCACTGTAGCTGTCAGATGGGAAAGCCCACCCTTTCCTGGGTTCATCAGTCTGTAGCCTCCCCCTCATCACAGCCATCTCTTCTGGTGTTTGATCTGCTAAATGGTTCACTGCCAGTTTGAAGGAGAGGTTGGCTCGATTCTTGGAGTGGATATACCTGGAAGAACATGTAGAAAGAGAAGAAGATGCATTTTCACTTGAAGAAAAAAAGGGGTAGACCGTTGTCTGGACTGGACATATTTAATCTCACTAGTGTTCTTATTTCTGCCAAAAACCTGCAGAATCTATTTAATTGGGGATGGATAGTGGTGTGAACAGATAGTCCTGTAGTGGTTCTCCTATTTTTCTCTGATGCAGACAAAACCATAGCGAAACTGGCTTGTATAGCTGGCATAATATGCATTTATCCTGCCCTGTGCATTGAATTTTAAAGGGATTGCCTTCCACTGTGTCCTCTGGGCTTTCTTTTCATACATTTTAAAGAAAAACTCTGAGTTTCATTGAATTGATGCTAGAAGATATTGCATTGGAATCATCCATTTTCACTCTGAGTAGAAGACCGAAGCATTAAATTGGCACACAAATTAATAGAATAGTAACTAAATATTTAAATGTGAATGAAGTGCTGGAATTCAAGAGCCAAATACCAGAGTTTGTACCCCATCAATCCCGTTTGCCAGATAAAGGAGGTGATACACTACATTTCTTTTTCCGGCATAAGATGAAGAAATATATGAGCGGCCATATAAATCTTCTAAATAAATAAATAAATAGGCTGAGTTCATTCATCAGAGTAAAGTGTATTGTGGTTTATTTGGGGCTTAGAATGTAATTACTTAACATGTTATTTTCTTAACATGTAATTGTTGAATAAGCAACATAAATGTCCTCAAAGTATTAAATTTGGATCTTGACTAGTAAAAGGTTGATCCCTCATCCTTTATTGTAGAATCTGCTTCGTGGTCAAGCAGCAGAACCTGGAAAATTGTGGAATTCTAGCTTTCTTGCTCTACATCTCTACTGGTTCCTTTACCTCATATTGTGGATGAAGTTGTGTCGCCGGTGCTCTATCTCTTTTTTGTTCTTGTAGGTTTTTCTGAATTTTTTCTTGTAGTGATGAAACAGATGTTCATGGTGTTGGCTGACTTCTCCAGTTCTCCCAACAAATTCCTGCATTGGATTGGCCAAGATCCTGTGTTCTGGTCCCACTTTTGGCCAGTGTGCACACTTGATGCCTATGAGAAGGAAATCAGAAATCAGAAAAACTTGTCTTCCTGAATTCTCTGTTGCCTACTTAAATGCCCTTTAGAGAAGACCAATATTAACAACAGGTCATTTCAAGATATTATACTTAGTAGAATATTGTGATTTCATTTTGACATTGCCATAATCTGGTCATCGAGAAGGTAGTGGTAAGTGGTAAGACCTGGAACATGAATCACAGGCACTTGGCACAGACTTGTGAATCTTCACCTTGGATGTCAATTTAAGAGGTCAAGTTGGAAGGCCATTTATTATGTGGGTTCAGCCTAATTACTTTTCCTGTGACACCCCTAACAAATTCTTTCCCAAGCTGAGTGGTTTTCAAATGTGTTGTCAACTCCTAGAATTCTGAGCAATGGCCAGAACTGCTCAGACTGACTAGGAAATTCTGAGACTACACCTCTAGAGAACATTAGCTTGGGGAAGACTGCAAAACCTACACATTTCTAAGCTATTGGTTTATGAAGATGCCATTCATCTCCAGGGTTCTCTTCTTCATGTGATCCTGAAGTTTTTGCCTTTGAGAAAAGAAGAGCATTATCTCTATTAATATACCTACAAATATTTTAATTAATGGGATGTTATAAGGAAGGTGGAATATTTCCCCTGGGTTACATGTTTTAAATTCCTACAATACTTTTAATTATTTAATAAATTTACTAAAATACAGACTAACTTGGGCTAAAGGGAGATGGTTTTAAAAACAAACATCGGAAAGGTAGCAAATAGCATTCCTTTGGGTAAGACATTATTACAGCTACAATACAGGTCGCTTGTAAGTAGACTCCATCAGCCTTTTCTAATTTAGTACCCTCCAGACATGTTGGATTTCATCTTCCAGAACTCCCATTCATCTGGAGACAGCTGGGTTGGGGACAATTGACTAGACTGGAAGAATTCAACCAATGCATTAGATCAGAGGAAGGGTCTGTGTACTGACAATATTCCAGAAAATGTTTTCATCCATACTTACCAGGAGGGAGATTGAAGATGCTTGATGAGAAACTGTGAGAGTAGCTGATGTAATCTATCTCATACTTGTCATAGTGAGAGCCCAGCAGGGTGTTGTAGCCTTTCATTTCATAATGGACTGGCAAAGGCCCACGGGAACCATCTGCCACCCACAACTTATAGGTGTTCTTCTTTTTACCCCAATAGGATACACTCTCCAAGACTGTGCAATATTGTCCATTGTAATGCTCATGCCTCACAGGCTAGAGTGTAAAAGCAAAGAATAGAGGGAAGGTTTACCCATACATTAATGGAAAGGTCAGTGGCAAATATTACGCATTGGTATTCAGCAAAAGTGTCTAAAGTGGATCTCATCTATACACTGGGTGTGGCTTTGTAGGGCAAGATCTTCAGTGCAACTATGGACAAGTAAACAGAAATAGTTGCACTGACTCCAGTCTGGCAAAGTCCAAAGTCAGTGGGTATAGACAATGCTTTATTTCAATATTAAACCCTTTTAAGACATTGCCAATTAAATGAAATCCCAGATAACACATGCACATATCCCAGCCAGGCTTATTAGAAATGTCACAATACACCCACCTCTCCCATTTGGGGAAGTGCCTCATTTAAGAGGCACTGTTTTCACTGTTCATTGACAAACTACATGGGAGCCAACCTGTGCAGGTGGACACTGAGCTGGTGGGACATAAAAGCAAATCAAGAGATCTACTCCATGATTTTCAGTATGTATCTTAATTACACCGGTAGTTAACATAATTCAGGTTTGATGCAATACATGAAAAATTGAGTAAGATGAGGAGATGGCAAAAAACCCTCACCTGGAAGTTTGTTAAGTTAGGAAACACACTTTGAGGTCTAACAGGATTCTCAGATGTTCCATTGATCTGAAAACATTCCTTAATATTGACTTCTGTTTCAGTGGTTTCTGGGGTTACCTTGAAGTTGGCTCCAAAAGGTTTGACATAACCTAACTGGTAAGTGATAACTTGGCCTGGAAAAAAAGGAAAAGCAGAATTACACTAAATATTTGATTGCCTCTGACAGAAGAGCCCCTTCTTATTTCATTAGGATAATGGTTGCTGGCTCTGGTGCCTTCTAGGTGTTCTGCGACCACAACTCCCAACATTTCCAGCAGAAGACTTTTGGCTGTCAGAGTGAGTTAGTGTAGGCAGTGCATTTAAATGATCTCTAGCATGTAACCCTAGTCCTTCTCTTTGTTAGACTAGACATATCCAGTTCCTGCAAGAAGTCCAGTCTGTATGGACATCAGCCTGACCTTTCATCTATTCTTCCTCCCTGAAGGGCTATCTATATTCATGGTGAAAATGTCAGATAGGTTTTCACTGGGTGATCCCACCACTTTGCTGTCAAACATGGATTACCATCATAATACTGAATCCGACTTTTTCCTCCAGTTTTGTTGAACCAGGCTTCAAAGGGCTCTTCTATTTCAGCATAAGGCAGTTTAAGTATCCCTAAAAAAGGGACAAAATCAAAAAACAAGCAACGACAAAAATATTAACTGTGATCCCTTTATTCTGAACAGTTCCACCACTAGATCTTTGCAGAGCACTTCTTTGTGAATCGTGTAATGCAGAGGTTTCCAACCTTTGCAGCTCGGCTGCCTGGCTGGGGGAAGAGAGGGGGGAACTGGGCCATGCGAGCAGTGGGTCAGCACATGTGTGTACATAGCCCTTGCGTGATTGGTGGGCTGGAGTGTACGCATGCAGTTCAACTTGCACGAGTGATGGGCCGGTGTGCACCTGCAGAAGTGCCTGTCAACTAGCCCCTTGGGCAGCCACTTGCGTGGCCAAATTTCAAGTAGGTGGTGGTCTGATAGCGGGCCGCAGCCCTGGGGTTCAGGCCCCCTGGTGTATTGGTCTCACATTACCTGTGACATGATAGACATCCCCTAACATGGGAAGCATCTGCAATTGTTTGTATAACTGTACACAGTTCACCACTGAAATGCAAAAATAGATAGATTGATATAATCAAATTTAATAGTGTAATATAATAGTACATCTGTCAACAGTAGTAACAAATAGAAAATCAATAGAGTGTTAAAAGTTTAAATAAGCTTTCAAAATTGGATTGTTATCCACAAACGCTGAAGTGGCAATCAATATATTGCTTTTTGTTTGTTGTCACAAACTGCTCTGATGATTGGTTTAAGAAAATTCAGAGAGCTACCTCCCTGGAAATTGAAGGATCAGATAATAATATCCTGTGAGGATACCTTTAAAAACATCAAACAACATCTGCCTAGCCTAGGTCATTTGGAAGAACTCAATAGATGGATAAAAATGCCAAATCCAGTCTAAACATCTGGCTGACTGTGTGACCAACCATACAGTAGCAAATAAACATTAAGATCAACTTACCAAGGAAACTGGTTGCCCATGTTAGCAAGATCAGCTTTTCCATTCCTGTCCCAGGCCAGGCACTCTACTGCTCAGATGTGCAGTAAGCCGGTGTCTTATAAAGTCAGCACTGCTCAGCTAACCAATGGATAAATTCAGACCTCCCAAATGGGTGGGATTAGAAATGCAATGGATTGCAAGAATTGGATGGAAAAGTCTCTGATCTGATTTGCCATATGCTGGATGGCAAGAAAATATCCAAAAATATATTAAGATAGTTAGCTGATTGTGAATTTATTCTTGGAAGTCAGTACTGGGAAAATGAGCTAAGTAGGCAAGTAGCCTGTAACATCTCTACTAATTGCATAAAAACTGGAATTATTATTCCCAAACTGTTCTCTATTCTGGCTATTCTGCCAACATCCATCCATCCATCTTTTTAACACTCTTCAGATAAATAAATATTTATATGTAACCCTTTTCCCTTCCAGTCCATGCCATGACATAAAAAACAGCAGAAATGAACAAGTTCAACATAATTATAAACAAGAAAGGAAGGAAGGAAGGACTATAAAGAAAGATGCAGCTTTCACTACCATTTTATTTCTAAAAAATATATCTAGATATTCTTAGAGACTTAGCTATATAAATAAAATTATTCTTAGAAAATAAGCAGTGGATGGCTATAGTATTATATTTTGGAAATGTGCCACTCTACCCTCCTCTTACCCCACCTGTCAAAGGAAAGCTAGGGTATTACGGAGAACTGTGCTAAAGCAAGGAAGAAAAATCCCTGAATTTATGAAAGTTGGAGTGTGATATTGTGATTTGAAGCTCCTCTTGAATTAGGGTCGAGTCATTCAGAAGACGGATGAAGACGGTCAACAGCCAGCTGCACAAGGCCAAATCTTTACATTTTTGCTAGCTCCAGCATTGTTTTTCTGTGTTGAAAGGTCACAGATAAAGCTGTGTTCTTCCAACTGTATCATCTGCCTTGCTTGGAAGCAGTGCAAGAAAAATAAAGTGTTTAAGATTTTGGCCCATGTTATCTTCTCTAATTTCTCTTCCTCCTGCAAATCTAGCTGGTTTACATCCCAAGGTTGGATCCAATCTGCACTTATGTCAATGTGTTCTTTTGGAAGTCAAAACTCATCTAGCGATGATGCTGGCTCTTTCGAGACAGATTCTGTACGAACGTGTTAATAAAAATGCCGTCTTGGCTTTCCTTTGGCCTATGTTACTTAAAGTTTTAAGAGGCAAGTTAGTCTGTAAAGAAGAAATGCACTGAGCAATCACAAATATAAAATTATAGCACTTAATCCTATAGCCTTCAAACATATGAAAACTAAATACACAAATCTAAATCAACAATTAAAAAATAGTGGCAGATTTGGGAATTAAAATATTGTCTGAAAAGAAATTATAGACCAATCATCCATAAAACAATTATTTTATTCTTATAAATAAATCCCACCCGTACTGGGATTGGCCCATGCCACTTGTGTCAGCAGGGGTGGCATGCTGTGGGTCCCATCAGCCCGATTATTCCGGCTGGCGGGGTCCAGGAAAAGGGACTTTTCTGCTGTTTCTCTTGCCCTCTGGAACATCTTGCCCCCCCCACCTCCGTTATGAGGTTGGCACCAACCCTCCTATCCTTTTATAAGGGCCTAAAGACCTGGCACTGCCAGTGGGCCTGGGGCCCCAGGGGGAGAACGCACAGTGGAGCTGGTTGATTGAATAACAACAGATCCCACCTCCCTCCACTCTGTTCCGACCCCCCTCCCCACATATCCTTAGATTTTAAGCTTTGTTTGTAATTTATTTAGGTCTTAATGTAGGTATATTTTTTATGACTGTAAGCCACCAGAGTTATCTTCTGGTAAGATAGGCCAATAAATTTCCCAAACAAACAAAGAAAGAAAGAAAGAAGGAAAGAAACAAACAAATAAATAATAGAGAAATCCTATCCAAGTCTACTCCAAAATAAGCTCAGGTGAATTTAAAATGGCCTCTTTCCAAATTGTGTTTCTTAAATAATAATTTTATGAAAAGTTTTAATTACAATGGTGAAAGATAATAAAAAACTAAAGAGAAAAAGCGAGAGTCAAATGTCCAAGAAAGCAAAAGAAAAAAGAGAAAAATCCTAAGAAAGCAACTTTCCACCTTCATTACGACAAGTATAAATAATTTCATAATCTCTTCATCTTCTCTTAATTAACAGATATAAAACTCTTCATCTAATAACTTCATCTCTTAATTATAGACAAATCCAGTAAATAATGTCTTCTCCAGTTCAGGCTTCCAAATTTGTTCAGTAAATCCTGTATTTATGAAGGTCATGATCTAGCTTCAAGTATCACATTAAGAATTCAATCTGTTTTGTTATTGCTAACAAACCATGGCTAAAAGCAATTTGTGAGTTAGATTTCAGAACACAATTGATATTTAAATTGATATTTTCAATATACTGGAAATAATAAACATAACTAATTTTCTATAACTTGCCTGAGGTGGGATATTTACACTGTCATCAAGACTCATCCATTTTCCTAATTACATCTAAATATAATGCAAGTAGTCCTCAACTTATGATAATTGCGATCAGAATTTCTGTTGCTAAGCAATGGGATTAAGTGAGTCACACCCAATTTTATAACCTTTTTGCCATGAATGTTAAGCAAATCACTGCAGTTGTTAAGTGATTTGTGCAGTTGTTAAGGGAATCTGACTTCTCCCCTTGACTTTGCTTGTAGAAGTCAGCTGGGAAAGTCACCTGGCCCCAGGATGCTGAACCATCATGAATACGTGCAAGTTGCTAAGCGTCCAGATGTTGATCATATGACCCTGGGGATGCTGCAAAGGATGTAAGTGCAAGGATCAGTCGTAAGTCACTTTTTTCAGTGCTGTTGTAACTTTGAATGGTTGTTAAATGAATGATTGCAAGTTGAGAATTACATAATAATAATAATAATAATAATAATAATAATAAAGTTGGAAGGGACCTTGGAGGTCATCTAGTCCAACCCCCTGCTCAGGCAGGAAATCCTATACCATTTCAGACAAATGGCTGTCCAGTCTCTTCTTAAAAACTTCCACTGCTGGAGCATTCACTGCTTCTGGAGGCAGGTTGTTCCACTGGTTGATTATTCTAACTGTCAGGAAGTTTCTCCTTAGTTCTAGGTTGCTTCTCTCCTTGATTAGTTTCCATCCATTGCTTCTTGTCCTGCCTTCAGGCGCTTTGGAGAATAGCTTGACTCCCTCTTCTCTGTGGCAGCCCCTGAGATACTGGAACACTGCTATCATGCCCCCCCTCGTCCTTCTCTTCATTAAACTAGACATACCCAGTTCCAGCAGCCGTTCCTTATATGCTTTGGCCTCCAGTCCCCTAATCATCTTTGTTGCTCTTCCCTGTACTCTGTCTAGAGTCTCAACATCTTTTTTACATCGTGGTGACCAAAACTGGATGCAGTATTCCAAGTGTGGCCTTACCAAGGCATTGTAGAGTGGTATTAACACTTCATGTGATCTTGATTCTATCCCTCTGTTAATGCAGCCCAGCACTGTGTTGGCCTTTTTGGCAGCTGCAGCACATTTATAAATATATCTTAACCTGAATCCGAGTGTTCTTATCAGTTTGAATCCATCATGTCATAAAGATGATGTTAGAAGGAGTGCAGAGAAGAGCAACAAAGAAGATCAGGGGGCCCGAGGCTAAAACATAAACAAACAAACAAACAAACAAACAAACAAACATGGTGAGCAAAACTGGATGCAGTATTCCAAGTGTGGCCTTACCAAGGCATTATAAAGTGGTATTAATACGTCACGTGGTCTTGATTCTATTTCTCTGTTAATGCAGCCTAGCACTGTGTGGGCTTTTTTGGCATATAAGGAACGGTTGCTGGAACTGAGTATGTCTAGTTTAATGAAGAGAAGGATGAGGGGGGACATGATTGCAGTTTTCCAATATCTCAGGGGTTGCCACAAAGAAGAGGGAGTCAAGCTATTTTCCAAGGCGCCTGAAGACAGTACAAGAAGCAACGGATGGAAACTAATCAAGGAGAGAAGCAACCTAGAAATAAGAAGAAATTTCCTGAAAGTTAGTACAATTAATCAGTGGAACAACCTGCCTCCAGAAGCGGTGAATGCTCCAACACTGGAAGTTTTTACGAAGAGACTGGACAACCATTTGTCTGAAATGGTTTAGGGTTTCCTGCCTGAGCAGGGGGTTGGACTAGATGGCCTCCAAGGTCCTATTCTATTCTATTCTATTCTATTCTATTCTATTCTATTCTATTCTATTCTAGTTGAAAAGACATCTATGCTGTTTTTAAAATAGCCTTCCCAATTTTGTGCCTTCCAGATATTTTGGGACCACAGTGCCTACAGTTTCTGGCAATAGGGATTCTGGAAGTTGTAGGCCTGTTCATCTGAAAGGTACTAGATTGGGACAGATTGTTTGAAAGTTGTATGGCTATCGTTGATTTCATACCATCAACAGTTTTACCTGGTCAAAGCTTTGTGAAATAATCTATTTTAGACTATGTGTGGATGTGAGAGCCAATTCAGGGTAGTGGTGAGGGCACCAGGCTAGAAACCGGGAGACAGTGAGTTCTAATCCCATCTTAGGAACAAAACCAGCTGCATGACATTAGGCCAGTCACTTTCTCTCAGCCCTAGGAAGGAGGCAATGGCAAACCACTTCCCAAAAAAAAGAAAATTCTGCCAAGAAAACTGCAGAGACTTGTCCAGGCAGTCACCAAGAATAATCATAATAAAAAAACTGACCTGAAGAGATCTAAAGTAAAGAAAGAACACAAACACCTATTTGAATTAGGTAATGAGCAACATCGATGCAGCTGTAATTCTAAGGATCTTAGGCTTTAATGTTCTTTTGGTAATGTGCTTTTCATGATGGATTCCCAGCCAGTCCCTGGAAAGGGTAGGTTTTTTGGCAATTTTTGAGAAATATTTAGCTCATGTCCTAGCCCAGGTTTCTGAAAAGCAGCAAGTGCACAGGTACAACCACCCCCTGAAAAGTAAACAGTACAATGTTAAAAAGAATTTATGAATTGCGAGATCAGATGCTGGAAGAAAGAGAAATTAGGCCAGAAGTGAAGTTATCATCAGTCCAAACCATGGTCAATTGTACCAGCTGTCTTATAGCCATAACATCAGCATTCCTGCATTTTTCTGTGGAACAACTGAACAGAATGAAGGATAAAGGCAGATTACAACTTCCATACAAGGTCTATATTTTCCAGTTTTTGCAGACTTGCCAGAAGTGCTTCCTCTCTCATAAAGAGCAGTGCTTGAATCCAGTAGGTTAATTGTTTTAATTTTGTTGAAAGAAAAAAAATCATCAGGTTCAGTCCAAGCTGGGAATAAATAAAATGGAGGCTGTTTGGAAGGAAGGTTCTGTTTACTGAAGAACAGAACCAACGGCATGTGGTTCTGGATAGCTGACAAAATGGAATTGGGATAGGTGGGCTTTTATACCTTCTTTGGGCTTTGTATTTGAGGTTCTTCCTATTCTTGTGGCTTTGTATTTGAAGTTGTTCCTGTTCCTATGCAATGAACTTTGACCTGAGCTTGAGTGTGCCCTTTTAGTATTCCAATGGTAGTGGGTTAATCCTATTATGTCCTAAAGATCATGTTCTTGTCCTTGGGAGTCTTTGTCTTTCTAATTCCATCAGCTCAAACTTTCTCAGGGGCTGTGGCTGAAGGCATTTTGCTTATGAATAGGTGGCCCCAAATCTGCCATTTTTAAAAGCTGGCCTCTGCCTGGGGTAAGGAGACCAGGGGCTGGTTTCTGCCTATAATTTTTCTATTATTTCTTTGGGGCAATATAATATTCTGCCTTTTTTAATTTCCCCCAAAATATTTCCTTATCTAGGAGGGTGGGTGGGTGCTGACTTCCAACAATTTGAAAATGTTTTCTTTGATGGATTAGCATTGCACTATGTTATCGTGCATTTCTAAAGAGACTACAGTGGAGAGATAGAGTACAGTAGTTGGGTTCAAATATGTTAACAACTGGTTCTCTGTGTGGATGCCGCTTCCGGAAGTCCGTTCTGGGCCTGGGCAACAAAAAATTACCAGTGCTGCCAAAGTGGTGTGAACTGGCTGAATCCCACCACTGGTAGAGTGCCTTTTAAGATCTAGTCATGAACTTCTCCTTGTCCTTTAGTCTTTTCTTTGAGCTACACAACTGACAACTTGCTAAGTTCTTCTCGAGCCATGCTCTCCTGCTGTTTTCCAATTGGTTGCATAGCTATGTGGCTGACTTATTAAAATTTTACGAAGGGCAAAGTCTTCAGGGTGACTTCATTAAAACGTAAAACAACAGGAGACCAATTTCACTGTAAAATAAGTTCCTCAAAAATAATCATTGAATCAGTTCAGATTATAATTTGGCATAATAGAGACAAAGAGGAACGAGCATCTTTTTCCTATTCCTACAGTCAGGAATTAGAATAAAACGTATTTAGTTTTAAATTGGCAAATGTCTAATATATTATCAACTGCAAACTGGGGACAACGGCTTAATATTAGTCTGGTTCACGTATTATGCCCCTTCCCTATGAGTTTTCTGAAAGATTTTTTTTCTGAGTCCTCACTGACTCTTATTACTCTCTGCCAAATATTGGATATAGAGAGCCAGACTGTTGTGGTGGTTAAGGCACCAGGCTAGAAACCCAGAGACCGTGATTTCTGGTCTTGCCTCAGGCCTCCAGCCAGTTGGGTGACCTTGGTCCAGTCGGTCTCTCTCAGCTCTTGGAAACAGGGCAAACTTTAGAAGGGGCAGGTTTCTTTATCTCACTTTGATTTCTGTGTTCTGCAGTAGGGTGGGTGTCTACATTTTTGTGGCTTCTAGGCTACCAAAAAGCAACTTGCTATGTCATGCCTGTGAACTTTCTGTTGTAAACAAGTTCCTGAAAATGGGATTAAGGACCTGGAGAGCTGAGATTTATTGCCTCAGTAAAACCTCTGGGAGGGAAACCTCCGAAGGGAAAGGCCAATTGCTGAGAACAGAGTGATAATACCCTGTTGGTCCAGAGGTTTATTTCCACCATGTTAATCTATTAAATCTTTTAAACATGGGGGTGGAATTACTGAAAAAATTGGTGAGGTGCTCCATCTACTACACTTCATTTCTATTAAGTTCAGTTGGGTCAATGGAAGTCCTAAACTAGTGCCTGGGACCAATAATGGGTGGAGAATGGACCAGACCAGACCACACCCCTCCCCTTCTCCTCTCCCTCTCCCTCTCGTCTTCCCTCCCCTTTTCTCCCTCTTTCTCTCCCTCTCTCCTTCTCCCTCTTTCTCTCCTCTCCTCTCCAACAAAAAGGAGATTCTCCAGGGAGGTGGATTTTGTCTATTCATGCTATTCTGAACAAGCTGGCATTCCTCCCTAAAGAAATAGTTTGTGTTCACACCACTCTCTTAAGTCACTTACAAATTTAGCAGATGTATTTTTACAACTTGCTGATTTTGATTTAACAAAGAGCTATGTGGTCATGCCAAATTCAGTTTGGTCTTTCATTAATATATAAGAACTGCAGCTTCTCCTGACTTGTCTATCTCTGGCTACATTTAAGGTAGACCTTAAAGACTATTTGGAAGATTTGATCAATTCAAAAATCAGGCCACATGTTTTTCAAGCTCAAGCGTAAGTCCTCAGCTTATAACCACAATGGAGTCCAACATTTCTGTTGCTAAGTGAGGCAGCTGTTAAGGGAATGTTGCCCCATTTTACAATCTTTTCTGCCACAGTTGTTAAGTGAATCACTGCAGTTGTTAAATGAATCTGGCTTCCCCATTGACTTTGCTTGTCAGAAGGTCGCAAAAGGGAATCACATGA